ATGGCTGAGATACTGCCAGGTTACCCAAGCCTAGACAGAATCAATCGAGATGCTGTGGTTGGGCTTAAACAACAGATGTTCTGGTCAGTAATATCGCGTCTTATGAAGTTAGTTACCTCGAGCTTAACTGTAGTGGGAGTCATAAGTACCAATCTCCTACCTGGGATACCCGGTGGAGTTTAACTTTTCACATACATCCCTCTGTGGTTCTGGACTGTCGTGAACCGGCGACGCCAGATGCAAACTGGCTGATGACCGTTAAGCAAGCCGTGAGTATCATACTGTAAATACCTAGGCAATAGCGTTTGCAATGCTGAACTAACCTTGGGGCGTGGTAAAAATATCCCTGCTGAATCTTTTTGAATGGCTTGTATTCGACTATCCGAAATCCCTACCGAAATCTCTCAACGTGGCTTTGTCCCATCACCGAGTTTTCCAAAAAGACAGGTCTGAACACACAGCACCAAGAAATCCCCCACTCCATACTGTACGGATGGCTGTGACCCCCGTTTATATCCAAAATCAAACATTGTCGACCGTTAGTTTTCTAGAATGCAAGAACTGCGTATACATCTGCATGATTTGTTACAAAACTGCGTATGAGTAAACATCAACGCTTCTCTCCTCATTTGTTTATATGCATTCTTTTGCACATGGTACTCAACTGGTAGTTTCCTATGCGTGTCGGATGACACTTTATTACACCCATTTGCGGATTTTTAACCGTCCGATGTCTGAAGGGACGATACAGCACAAACATAGAGTTGCATTTCCTAACCCTTACGGTATCGACTCTGTGGATCACCGCAAAAAACTGTCACCTTCGAGACGACAAAGAGTGTGTCTAGAGATCATTTGGCATGAGGCTCGGAAATTTCCTCTACAATACACATCGGGGATAAACAGCGAACGGTAGGGAAGGACCCGGTTGTTTATCTGCCTCTACATAAGAAAGCTGCCTACTAGGTGGACATTAACATGAATGTGAAAAGTGTTTATTGTCTCCAATGAAAGCGGCTGACCACAAGGTTCGGGTCACTGCTAAAGTACGTCAAGCCAAACCGAATAAAACTGTCACTGTTGACGGTGTGTGTTAAATATGTCCAAGAACTAGCTACAAATTAAGCTAGACTTCAGTCGATAGTGCATGTGAGGTGCCTTGAAGTACTCATCTCTAATGCTTAGACTATCAATGAAAGTTGGTCTAATCCTCGACATACAAGTTCTCAGAAATGGGGTGGGCTACGTCCTGTTTCATTTTCAATTTGCACATAACAGTGTGGAACGAAAAATAAACTGGTTACAGGCAAGGTTATGTGGAGAAAAAACGCTGTTTTCTGTCACACATTTAAGTGTTGCCACCACCAGTTTTAGAATACAGTGCTTTTTTCACTTCGTGATATTTTTTACTTAAGTCTTGCTGTCACATCAAAATTTTGGAGAGTGATGATAAATCATGTTTTCTGAACTCATGTTTCACGTGAAAATAATCCGCAGTATGCGAATTAGTCCAGGGACGTTCTACGGGTCATATCAACGCGAACTGCCCTTTCTCCTTGGTCTCTGTAGGGCGGTTGATACGGTGTACTTGAAATCACCATGTGGATCATCGGAAGTGACTCGTCATATTTGGAAGAGACCATGGTATGCTGAGGTCCTGACCGGTGGAGTACCTGCCATTGACTGTGATTGGTGGCGAGAACAATTTTGCCCGCTAATGAAAGCCCGTGATCAACGCATCTGGTCCAGTAATCGGTGCCCATTCACAGTTTGAAGTATCGTTCAGTAAACCACGAAGTTAAGCAGTATTAGGGACACTAACAACCCTACTTAATTTTCAGATAGCAAGCCGAATGATGGACTTTTCATCAACATACATGAATGTCTCATTATAACGTTTGTGGTGTTCTTGTTATCTTTATTACGACTTAAACACTAAACCTTCAAGTCTATCGCAATATCGTCCAACTTCATCGCACTTCAGTGCCTCTCGGTTCGCAAAATCGAAGTCAGCGAAGCAGGCAAAGGTTGGGTGTTGAAATCTGTATAGTTGCTCCATTGGTCAGTGCAGCCTTCCTCTGAGTGGAAACATGCCTAGTTTTCATCCGGTATGTGGTTTTCGTCCGCTGACAAAGCGGCTCATGGGGATGATCGAAATTTCGAGTTATATACTATGCGCGTACGCCGCGAATTTGATTAGGGGCGGATCTGTCGTCTAGTGTAAAAGTAGACGGTAAGGTGCTCCAATGCGCTTCGCCATATTAGACAGTTCAGAGAGGATAATTTATATATATCTGCAGTGATAATGGTTTTGTTCGGGATCTCGAGGTTTTCCGACCATTCGAAGAGTTCAGTTATTTCCTTCGTTGAAAGGTCGTGGCTTGTGCCGCACGATGAGATTGTAAGACGCACGCCGACGGGTGCGTTAAGTGATATGTTAGAGGTGCTCTGCCAATAACGGGACTTTCCAGTTAGTGTTGGGAACGGTTAGTAGTTGGTCGCGGTGCACAAGTAATCGTTCTTCTGAGGCTTGTAGTGTCTGTAATCCGTTGTCACATTTACCATTCTTCCTGAACTTGAACCACGCTTTGTAACTGCCGTTCACATTGTATCATGGCGTTTGTTTTAATGTTACGAATGCACAATTTTCCGGTGCGACCTGCTGACTTCTTGCCGAACGAGCTGAACCAGTGGGACCGAATCTCTGTGTTTGTGTCAACTGTTGAACGTCACAATAAATCCCTGTGACATGTTTTAGCCGTGAATAATTTTCCTACCGTGGAATATATCACGCACGCGGAACCATCTGTGGGAAATTCCGATAAAGGGAATATTTCCTCTCACAGCCAGTTACTGCATTTGGATCGGTGTAGTGGACTACTGGATCTACACATTCGTGAGTCCCCGTTTGACTACTCATTCCTTTCCTATTGTGATTTTGTGATTTTGTATTGGTTATTTTGCTTGTTAATTTATCCGAACATTCTGATAAGGTCCTAGCCCGCTACAGGCTCTTCCCAGGAGACAGAATGGCCTCACGTAGTCATCAACAGCTGACATAACTTACATGTTTGTTACTATGTTGCCACAGCAGTGAGAAAAGCCGTCCCCTAAGGCAGCGAAGCATCAGTGTTGAACATTAGTGTTATGTTGTCATTCCTTGCAGATCAGGTGCCCTGGTACCTAAAAAATATCTTCCCAGACTGGGTTGACAAGTGGATGTTTTGCTTCACGCTCCAGTTCTTCTGGCGACGTAAGGTGAATCCAAAACACCAGCGTAGATACTGTATTTCGTTGTTCTGTATTCATATCAGATATAACAAGACAAGCGTCGAATTTGCGCGGATTGAGCCAGATAGAGATTAGTAAATAGGGAGAGCACTGGCGCGAATCCTTTAGGAATCGGTTCCCTGACGTATCGCTGTCATGTATTAGCCATATGGCCTTGTATCTGTACTACTGGGTTCGATTCATTGAATAGCTGGTTACCCCTCGCACTTTGAAGAGATGCTAAATAAAACTAGGATAGTGGACTTATTAAAACACCCCACAAAACCAAGGCATTTGGAATTTGATGTTCGTTAGATGAAATCAGTTGGCCTTGGTTAAATGAAGCAAATTGCCCGCAACAGATATCCAATACCTGATTTAAATTCCTCGTTGCAATCAGACGATCCACACTTGCACTGATGTTGATCGTTGGATGATGGATGGTTGATGTATGTCGTGCGTGCGTGAATAGTTCTTACCATAGGCGATAAACGGACAAAATTACACGAGTTCCATTACCTCAGTTGATATATTTTGTCTCCCAGCTTCTAAGTTCTCAACATTCAGTATCGCACAACACACAGCTTTCAGACCATAGCTTGGAACAAACCAACCACTGAGCGTCCCCTCGGCGGTTAGGCCAGATCCATAAACTAAATACCCGCACAAAGTTTCCTCTTAAAAACCACTGATGCTTATGCTGCAACTTGTGATAATCGACCCAAAGTTTAAGTACCCGATTCACGAAAAACACCTTACACAAGTCATGTATACTTTTCAACATCTCCTCATGTGCTATCGTGCCTCGCCTGCCTCTAAGTTCAGATTATTCCCCTCTGGGATCGCCTACACCTGACATAACCGCTTATAAACTCCAGTTGGGAAAGAAGGTGAAGGAATCATCGTGGTCCATTCAAACATTAAGTGGTCATCCATCACAATTTTTGCAGCAGAGACATTTGCCAAGGGGTAGGGAAGCCACGACAGAACGTGAGATCCCAGGCATAGTAGTACCAAAGCACAGTTCAAAAGATTCGTGGTGGCGTCCAGAAACAAGTCCCTGAAACATGAACATACCTCAAATCCGTGGCAACTGCAGCTATTTGCCAAGGGGTAGGGAAGCCACGACAGAACGTGAGATCCCAGGCATAGTAGTACCAAAGCACAGTTCAAAAGATTCGTGGTGGCGTCCAGAAACAAGTCCCTGAAACATGAACAGACCTCAAATCCGTGGCGAACTGCAGCTGCACATTGCGCCTCGGGATCTCCAATAGAACAAGATTCACATCTGTATCATGCGTGAGTGCGCATGATATAGTACCACACAGTAATGATAATCAGCTAGTCTAGCTTTCTATTGGTTGAAAGACAACTGGAGGCCGTAGCATTTTAATCAAACGAAATCATAGAAATTGAGGAATATTGGATAAGGAAATGGACAGAATCACTTAGAAATTCAGTTAAACCCACCTTTTCCTGACAAGCATTGAAATGTGGCCTGATCGCAAGTCGAAGACAGCGGTATTCTCGGGTTCGTCTCTGTCATGTCATGGTAACCTCCAAACAGGTGCACATTCCAAAATTTTTCAAAATCCGCGCTCTTGTCGGGAGTTCAAATGTGCCTTGGCTGTTGGAACAAATAAAGGCCCATGGAACTGTCAAAGGGAATCATTTAGACTTTCGCTGCAAACTGCAGTGGGTGGTCTCTTTTGAGCTTTATTGATTCCCAGGTAGGCGCGTTCTCCATTGCGCGTGTCACTGTTGTTATAATGTTGCACGGAGCAAACGTCACGATCCATCCGTTAAAGGATCCCATTAGCAGAACAATGCTCTTAGCTGCAAAACCTTCGGGAGTGGAGTGAAACCTTTTTGCACCAGAATGTTACATTTTGTTGCGTATGTCGGCAAACCAAAAACCACCCTAATTTACGCTCATATTTTTGCATTTCACCAAATTTCATTGTTCGCCGAAGCAATCATACCTCTGGCGGAAAAGTTTGGTGGAACCACGTCCCAACATCGCTGAGACGCCGGGATGTCTAAATAGGGCTCAAAGGTTTGGACTGGTGCTCTGAACCCAATTGTCTAATCGCTTTGGTCCATCAGGAACATGTCATAGCCAAGGAAAATTCAATTCCCTTCTGCGGATACTGAGTTCACCGAAATGACTGTGATCCCGGTGAGATGGGCGGTTGCTTCTGAATCGGTTTGTTAAATTACTGCACAGTTGGGGCTCCGAAGGCTCTTCTGATTCGATCTAAATGAGTTCCATACCGCTGGCATCTGTAGGAAATAGTAATTGTTGTGGCTCATCTATAACAAGACTTGGTACTGCGTGATTGGTAGAATCGAACCCGGTGTAATATGAAGATGGCACATACCATTGATTTAAGTAGCAAACAGGCCAAAATCTTGGCCCAGGCATCTGTGAGTTGTGGTTTGGCAAACGGATGTCCAAAATGTGTCCATATTTGTTATATCTGCTGATTCGTCAATCTGCGGTGTCTGCTGCTGACCCGCTCCAGTGCCTAGTGTCGGAGAGAAAAGACTCACAGAAGGGAACACAACAGCTGTATTCCGAACAAGCAAGTGAGTGAGAGAGCAACAGCGAGAGCGAGTGCAAAAGTTACAACGGCCCCACGCTATTTGAAAGGGGACTTTCTGACATTGATATAGGCTGTCTGATAGGCGTTAGTGATCACCCATCAACATCGATCGTGCCTCTATGAAAAGTTCGAATGCTGATCACATTCGGTCGTGCTTCTGTGGCGCAGAGAGCACTCTGTACTGAATTTATCGAATGGTTGACTGGCCTGGATGCTTACCGGCTTTCCAGTTGAGCTTTCGGTGGAGCAGTAGGTTCCGGGCGTTCAGGAGTTGATTTCAGGAATCTGACCTTGCTAATAATATTATATGGAGAAGAGAGACTAGTAAATTATCGGCGAAAAATCGCTGCTTCGGCAAGAGTAAATTGTTGGTAAAAAGCAAAGGCGTAGAGGATATCTGCCATGAGGAACACTATGCCAAATATATCTATCCTTGGTAAATAGGACATGGAGTAGCCCCAACGGTTGCCAGGTTTGTACGGACTACGAGGGTACATAACGCGATTCATTCAGTAAGCTCAAGCTGCATTAGGCTAAGCAGTAGCATGGAGATCGGGGTCGTAGGTATATGGCAAAATTGTAATAGCAGAGGATACTGTAGGTTTGTGGGGCCGAGCCTTCGACACACCCAAAGTTTAGCGAATATACACTCATCTGCAAACTAATTTGGTTCTTTCGATAAGCTCAACTGGAACCCAGCTGAATCTCTCGTTTATGGTGTTCTCAGGCAACTGAATGTGCTGCGCCAGGCTGCCTCATGTTTCAGTCGCTACGATATTTGAAATATCGCGATACATGTATATTTGTAATGTACTACTCATAAGGTTGCTGAAAATCCATCGACAGCCCACGACCGGTTTCGCCCTTCTTG